TCTCTCTCTCTCTCTCTCTCTCTCTCTCTCTCCTCTCTCTCTCTCTCTCTCCCTTTCTCTTGTTTTTTCGAGTTGGGTTTCTCTGTAGCTTTGGAGCCTGTCCCAAGTGCTGGGATTAAAGGCATGCACCACCACCACCTGGCTAAAATAGTGTTTCTAACGTGTTTTGAAGATTAGGAAAATGCTGTATAAGTGCTCATTACTAGAACAATCTTTAGAAGTAAAATGTCCTGGCATCGGTAAGAGTTACCATGCTGAGTTTACGGAGGTTCTGCTCACCTCCACTGAAGAGCTGAAGACCTGTCTCTTTTGCTAATAGCTGGGAAGGGAACTATTACACTTCCCTTCTTTGTAGAGGTGACATCAGTTTCTGTTCCTCAGCAAACAATAGATGTCATCTTGTCTCTTTGAAGGGAGAAAGTGAGATTTGGAGCCAAAAAGATATTTATAAAACAGTAAGAGAGAGAATATATAAATACAGCTAAAGGAGGTTTTAAAAACGTTTTGGCGACTTATTTTTCTTTTATGTGATGGATGTCTTGCTTGTCTGCATGTCTGGTATACCATGTGCATGCAGTACCCACAGAGGCCAGAAGAGGACTTAAAATCCCTTGGAAATGGGGTCATGGATGCTTGGTAGCTGTCATGTGGATGCTGGGAATTGAACCCGGCTTCTCTGGAAGTGCAGCCAGTGTTTTAACCACTGAGCAATCTCTCCAGTGCAACTGAAAAATTTTAAATACTGAGAAAAGTAGGGCTATTTGAGACCAAGGATCATAGTGAGTATGAGGGAGATTAATTTATGGAGAAATGCTAGGTCTTTAGGGTTAAGAATGTGTAGGAGGTAGCTAGGCACCCTGAACACTGTGTTGGCAGTTCTCAGCCTTGGGTGCCTATTACAATAATGGGAAGAGTTTAAAAAATAATGGTGAGCTTTAGTCATCCAAACAGTAGATTCAGCTATCTTCTAAAGGAGAACTCTAAGAAAACACAACTATTTTGTTGACTTCTATAAAAGTATTCTCTTAGATCTCTAGATTTGTGAAATGATGAGTTGCATCTTGGTCCGTGCCCTCACTCCTCATGGTTTCTAGGAGCTGTGGGCACTAGGGGAATCTTCTGTTTTTATGCTTAGTCTTTGCTTTGCTCACTGAGGCCGAACTCCTAATACCCTTGCTGATGGTAGAACTGAGGTAATCTTGTCTTTGACTCTGGCTCCTGACAAATTTTCTAAGTCACAGGGATATCTGATATAGTTCCCAACGTCCCTAACTTCCTAGGTGAGAACATCTATTGTTCTAATCAGATGAGTCTTGATGGGCTCCTGGACAACCTCAGGATGGAAGCTGGTTGCCAGTGGGCCCAGTGGGCCCCGTCTGTGTGATTACAGTTGGAACTTGCAGCTTTGGTCCCCAGCCTTGGGTATTAAAGAGATTGAGTCCGATGCTAGCTTGCAATGACTTAATCAGTCATGTGTACATAATGAACTGAGTTTGAGAGCCTCTGGATGGCTGCACATACTCATTGCCTAAGGAAGGGTATAGGAGCCCTGTGCCCATTCCCACACAGATCCTCTGTATCATTTCACACCCCTTTGTTCATGTGTTTTCCTTTCCTCATCGTGTACCCTGAGGATAAGTGTCTGAACATAAATAGTTTCCCTAAATCCTGTGAATGGTCAGACCCATGGAGGAAGTTACAGGGACTTCCTGCCAGTCAACCGTACGTGTTAACTCCCTACCTACTTCTTGGAATTGGCTTCTGAAGTCCAAGCGATTGAGCCTTCAGTCTGTCTAGCAGGTCCATGGTGTCAGAATCAAAACGATCCTCATGTCCCCAACTCCTCTCGCTGGAGTTATAGACACCTGGCTTTTCACGTGGGGCCAAGGGTCCTGATTCAGGCTCTCCTGCTCACTGGGTAAGCTCTTTACTCGAGGAGCCATTTTCCCAAGCCCTGCTCTGTTTCTTCTTAATCTGGCAATTTGTATCTTTTTTTCTCCACAGTTTTGCTGGAGATTTATTGATATAATTAGTTATCTGCCCAAACACTAGCTCTTTGTTTTTCTTAATTTTTTTCCTATTTTTATTTTCAGTTTCATTAATTTCTGCTTTTATTTATATTAATTCTCTGGAGTTTGATTTGCTGCCCCCGCCCTCCCTGTAGTCGTAAATTGGCTTGCAAATCTCTTTTCCAGTGAGAAGTGACCAACTTCTTTGGTTAAGTCTGTTTGCCTCCTCCCGTTGTGGAATCAAGCTGTTATTCTCAATATCCCTTTACACATGGTTTCTGCATGTACAGTACATATGCAAAAATACATTTTTTCTTTTTTTAAGTTTATGTGTGTGGTTGTTTTGCTTGCATGTGTGTCTGTGTACCATGTGTGTGCAGTGTCCTCAGATTCCCTGAAACTGGAGTTACAGATGGTTGTGAGCCACGATGTGGGTGCTGGAAGTCAAAGCCATATCCTCTGGAATATAACCTCATAACCACTGAGCCATCTCTCTCTGGCTCTACTTTCTCTCTCTGTTGTAGCATTTTGCTAGGTTGTACTCTGGCACTATCTTTATTCTGTCTGTACATTGCTCCCCCCCCCCCTTTAATACTAGGGATTACTAGGCAAGTGCTCCACCACTGAGTTACATCTCCAGCCCGTCTTTATTTTTCTTTTGAGACAGATTCTTACTGCATTCAGGCTGGCCACCAACCTAGAGCCTCAAAGCCTCCTATAGATAATAATTTCAGGTGTGTGCTGCCAGTCCTGGCTTTACTGTCTGCTATGAATAACAGTTTTTCTTGTATCTATTGATTTTAAATGGCCTTAAACTTCTCCCACCACCTCCTGAGTGCTGAGATCACAGATATGTGCCACCCACCATTCCTGGTTTATGTGGTGCTGGGAATTGAACCCAGGACTTGAGTTCATACTAGGCAAACATGCTGGTTCTTAGGTACCAGCTTTACTTCTCCAAGTTCCATGAGACAGTAAGCATTGTCTTCAGCAGTCATTTTAGGATTCTTTACTGTGTGAATTCTTTGGGAAAAGAGTGGAACAGTTTTATCTCCTTTACTTACCTCCCCCATGTGTATTGTCTCTTTTGTTAAGGGCCCAGTTTACATACAGAAATAATTGTGTTTCTGCACCAACTCTCTTGCTTGTGCTGTCTTGATAACCTCAGACACATGAGGACTTTTAATAATTCCCTTTCGATCCCATCAGAACTGTGGTAATAATCACTTTGAGGTCTGTAGTTGTGATGGGTTCAGGGGACAGAGCATTCTTTCACACATACTTCCCAGGGCCTATGCTTTTGCGCTAGGCCAGTGGTTCTCAACCTGTGGGTCACGACCCTTTCGCAGAGCTCACCTAAGACGTTGGAAAACCCTTTGTATTACGATCTATAGCAGTAGCAAAATTACAGTTACAAAGTAGCAACAAAAATAATTTTACGGTTGGGGGCCAGCACAACACGAGGACCTGTGTGGAAGGGTGGCAGCGTGGGGAAGGTTGAGAACCACCGCTCTAAGCACCATCAGTTCTTATGGCACTGCTTTGACGTTTATGTTTTATCCAGGGATGGTTTTGATCCTTCTGAAAATCCATTTTGTGTTGGGTGTAGTAGTGCATGCCTGAAATCCCAACATTTGGGAGACCGACATAGGAGGATTGCTTTAAGTTCAAAGCCTGCCTGGACTTCAGAATGAGTTCCAAATTGCCGTGGACTGGGAAGACCTCATCTACATTTTTTGACAGTACACTTTTTAAACTTCACTAATGATTCTTTAGACGCTGCCTTTTCTTGCACAATGGAATGGTTGCTTGACAGGAATTTCTCGTCATTCCAGACCCATACTCCTTACGTGTAGAACACTGTCTTTATTTCTGAAGAATTATATATTTCTAAAAACCCCTTCCTTGTTTTAGATAGTTACAGGGTTTGTTGTTTTATGAATAAGCTCTATGTGATGTCATAGTTAAGAACTCAGCTGTAGTTAAAATGACGTGCAGACCATGTTCTTCTCGGATGTGAACTTTTCAGATAAACAAGGAACTTTGGGAGCGGGGGAAGCTTTCCTGTACTGGAGATTGAATCAGGGCTTCAGGCTTGCGAAGGCTGGCTCTACAGTGAGCTGTATCCCCAGTCTGGGAAACATTCTCTGTGTCCTAAAGAGTATAACGGGACGTTTGCTTTTTCAGAACAACATGGTAATCTCTCTTTGCTGCAAAGGTGGTGTTTTACTCTAAGTTACCGTGAAGCTTGATGATCATAGACTTCATAAAATATCCCCGAAGGCCCACTGTTGACCTCAGGTGCCGACTTTAGCCCGCTGGTGAAGCTTTTTATCTGCAATGAAAGCAGGTGTGGCTAAAAGGATGACGCTCCGGTGATGTTGCTTAGCGTTCATCATGTTCTCCTTTTCTTCTTTCCTAAAGGACCAGGGTTACCTTCCCCTTCACTCCCTTACAGTGGTGTATGGAAGAGCTTCTCAGAATAAAAACTTAACATTGTTACTTGAAGATTGTTAGAAGATAAACAAAGATAAACATACTATGAAATCTTCATAGCAGCGTGCGCCTGGTGTTTAGTGTGCAATAATAAACCACCGTTATCCTGATGTTAGGGCATATTTGTAAATTATATCTAAACTGGGCGCTCTTTCAATTTTGACCACTTACTACTGCTCCGGCTCTAGATTTAATGTTTTTTTTTTTTAATAAGAAAGTTGATACCGGCTCATCCATTTGGTTTCTTCCTACAGATCAACAGAGATTACAAGCTGTTTGTAAAATTCGCCTTCAGGTGACTGTTAGCTTTAGTTGTCTCTGACAATTATAGATGAACCTTGCTTCTACAAAGGACGAGAAACCAGAGTTTATAAATGTGGTAAAGTTAAAGTGTGTAAGGGCAGGAATAAATTTCTTAGTTGCTCAGTATTTAGAGATGCATTTGATTGTTTTTATGGTTCCAGATAGCAATTATTTCTAATATTTATTTTGCAGTGAGGGCCGAGGCAAGTTGACCGTATTTTCAGTTAAAGCTATGTTAGCAACCATGTGTGGTGGAAAAATGCTGGACAAATTGAGATGTAAGTATTTTCATATTACTTAAAAGTTTTTATTTTCAAATTAGGATGTCTAAACAGTTTTGAGTGAGTGAATGATGTAAGAATTTTGGAGGAGGCTCTGTTGTAGCAGCTGGCTCCAGATACGTGAGCTGTGCCACCTACTGTTCAGATGCATAAGCCAACTGCACTTCTTGTTAGGGTTTTTAAAGTGAGAAAACTGGAGTTCAGAACAATGATATTCACATGAAAAAAACCACTTACAAATGCTTTCTATATTAGTAAATGTGATTGGAGATGATTATGTTTTTAGTTAGAAAATAAATGTGATTGCTTTTACTAGGCTCGATCAAGTTTAGCCTTCTTACAGCTGCAGGTGAATTTTTTTTTTTTTTTTTTTTTTTTTTTTTTTTTTTTTTTTTTTTTGGCTGTAATCAAGCTTTCTTAGCCAGGCTCAGCTACTCAGAAGCTGACAGGCTGCTCCCCCTCCCAGGCTGTCCTGTTCCTTCCTAGCTGCTTTTCCTTCTATTGCTGTTACTTGCTTTTTGTTTTTCCTTTTCCACGGGTTGCCATTCATAACTGTTTAGTTTTGCTGCTTGTGGGTTTTACTTATCTGGTCCTCAGGTCAGGTGTCTGTCTGTACCTGCTTGTCGGCATGTGCACCACATTCGTACGTGTGCTGCCCTGATAGAGGGCGACGGCGTGGTATCGTCTACATTCAGAGCCTGGTTTTAAGCTGTTCTTTTCTCTACTCTGCTAATACTGCTATGGCAGGGACACACTTAGGGCCAGGAGCCGTGTTTCCAAGAAGTAAAAGTGAAGCGTGGGTGTTTGTGAGGCGCTGTGATTATGTGTGTTGTGGGAAGGATGACTCGAGATTAAAGCGCTTGTCAGAAGCCTGACAGGACCCCAGAACTCACACGGTGAGCAAGAGGACCAGTCTCCGTGAGTTTCATGACATACACACACAGATAACAACGTCGTTTTAAAAAGACAGAATTGTGACTTTTTATGTTTGCATGAAATATAATTTCAGCCATATTCTCCTTTTCAAAAGAAATCTCCATAAAAGAATAAAGAAAGGAAGAAAAAGGAAAATCCTTTTATAAGTGGCCCTCAGCATTTGACATCTGTGTTGTTCAGGGTTTGGCTATCCTGAGCTTTTTCAGATTTTATTTGTTGTTTGGGCTAGTGATGTTTGGTTGTGTGTTCTCTGTCACTGCTGATTTGATGCTGTTAGAGGTCCCCTGTCTTTCGAGCTCTCTGCTTGTTCCTGTATGCCACTGACAGAAGCACCACACACATAATACTCCTTAAGTGGGTGTCCTGGGAGACGCACCCAAAGCCTGTACTCAGACGGTCAGTTTGGACCACCCATGGGAACCTGTCCCCCTGGGTTCTCATTCCCCGACGTGCTCTCTCTGGTTGAGGTGGCTGGATAACTGCATAGGCAAAAGGGAAATGTGTAGTACTGCTTGGTGACCTCCAGCTGTAATTTCTTTATATACGTTCTTCTCCCGTTAGTGTGTTTAGTTCCCATCCACTCTGCAACCTCTTCTGACTGCATTCTCTAGTAAAGGCCCCACTATATGAAGCCTCTACCGTGTGGGATACACCTCAGCATTGTTTCTTCTTATTTTTTTAACTTTTGCTTCTTGCCTTTTAGAATTTTTTTCAAAGATTTATTTATTATTATTATTTTTTGTTGTTTTATGTCCACTAGTGTTATGTTTGTGAGGGTGTCTCAGATCCCCTCTGGAACTGGAGCTGCAGACAGTTGTGATCCACCACGTGGGTGCTGGGAATTGAACTTGGGTCCTCTGGAAAAGCAGCCAGAGATGACCGCTGAGTCATCTCTCCAGCCCTGCTGTTTAGAATTTTTTAACTAAAACTTTTCCTTTATTTCCCCCCTCTACCTCTATAAAAATCTTTATTGTTTATGTGTATATGTTTGTGCCTGCTTGTCTGTTTGTATATCACATTGGTACAGGAGCCTACTGGAGCTGGAATTAAAGGAGGTCCCTGTAAGAAAGCAAGTGGTTTTTTGTTTTTTTTTTTTGTTTTTTTTTTTTTTTTACTGCTGAGCCCTTGTCTCTCAAGCCTCTGCCTCCACCTTTTATATTTGATGTGTTTTAATATCAGAATATCACCTTAAATGACTTCACAAACATTTGTGCTTTGGTCTGAAATGTGTTAGATTTTTCAGAAATGCTCGGAGCATTTCTGTCTCTAGGACATTTACAGAAATGTCCCTTACTGTGGTCCTTAGGGCTGTGTTCCTCGATTGAAAGGTAATTTACATAAAATCCTAAATGCCATCTTGTAATCAGGGTAGACTTTAAAAAAGTGCGATCAGAACTCAGTGCCAGCACCCCAGCGTGGGAGCAGCACCTGCAGACTGAAACCACAGCTGCCAACCAGACTCAGCATCTACCTGGTTGACCGCAGACTGACTTTGTCAGTGTTTGCCGTTTGTTTCCTAAGAAATTTAACCCTCTTATTTAAACCCCACCAACTCATCCTGAAAGTGGCAAGCGATTCATTTATTTTCTTTATTAATTTTGATTTGTTTACTTTAAATTTTATTTAAAAGCTAGCATTGTTATTTTTGCAGAATTAACAAATGTGTGAGGAAGACTGTAAAAACGCTTTTATCGCAGGTTGGAGGGCTGGAGAGATGGCTCAGCGGTTAAGAGCATTAGCTCCTCTTCCAGGTTTCCTGAGTTCAGTCCCCGTCAACCACACGGTGGCTCACAACCATCTGTAATAGGGTCAGATACCCTTTTCTGGTGTGCTTGAAGGCAGAGCACTCATGTAAATAAAAATGTGTAAACAAATAATCTTTAACTGGACATGGTGGCACACTCCTTTAATCTCAGTACTCGGGAGGCAGAGGCGGGCGAATCTTTTGAGTTTGAGGCCAGCCTGGTCTATAGAGTGAGTTCCAGGACAGCCAGGGCTGTTATACAGAGAAACCCTGTCTAGAAACAAACAAAAAAAAGAAAGAAAGAAAGAAAGAAAGAAAGAAAGAAAGAAAGAAAAGAAAAGAAAAGAAAAGTGCTTTTATCTATTCATTTGTTGGGCTTGTGGAGGAATAATTGGGGCTCTGCTTCAAGTTACAGACAGACACCTATCACACTTTTTTTATTCATCTTTTTTTGTGCCCCGAGTCTTCTAATGATAGCCTAGAACTCTTAGGCTCCAGGGATTCTCCTACCTCAACCTTAGTCCAATTATCAAAAGGCTCACAGCAATTTTCCCTGGTTGAGCACACTGGGGTTACAATAGTCCAGTTTATACGACTTATCTTCTTACATGTCTTCAAAAGACTACACGCTGAGTAGAGGAAACACTAACCTGAGCATCTTCCTACTGTGGCCTTTCTCACCATTGTTTCGGTCACTTGCTTCTGGTGTTTCATTAACAGGCTGACAGTTTCCCTGTTCAAAATCCTGCTTCTTTTGCCAGGCCTTTAATCACCTGTCACTCCACCCTTACCCCCACCCGTGTCTGCTAGCCAGCCCTTGATTTCTCTTTTAATCTGCATCAGAGATGCCCATGTCTTGCATTTCTGGAATAACTGAAATGTTTTAGAATGAGAAGCAAGCAAGAAATACTCTCTATATCTTCACTTTATGAACTATTAAAGAAAATGAAGAAAAACAGAAACTAAGGGAAGCTGGGTTGGTCAGGGTTCTCCAGAACAGTGGTTCACAACCCTCCTATCTCTGCGGCCCTTTAGTACAGTTCCTCATGCTGTGCTGACCCGCAACCATGGAATTACTTCATTACTACTTCATCACTGTAATTTTGCTACCGTTATCAATCATAATGTAAATATCTGATATGCAAGATATCTGATATATGACCCCCAAAAGGATCATGACCCACAGGTTGAGAACCACTGCTCTAGAGGCACAGAACACGTTTACACACACATACACATGTAATACACGATATGTATTTTAATAAATACTTTACATATACACACATGCATATATATGGGTTTATTAGAATGACTTACAAACTGTGGTCCAGCTAGCCAACAATGGCTATCTATGAACAGAAGGTCCCAGAATATAGTAGTTGTTCAGTTTGTGAAGCTGGTCATCTCAGCTGTTCTTTAGTATATGCCAGAATTTCAAAGAGGGGGGCTCTAATGCCAGTGAAGGAATAGACTTGCCAATGAGAGCAAGGAGGCAAAGTTCCTCCTTCCACGTCCTTTATATAAGCTGCCACAAGAAAGCGTGACCCAGATAAGGCTGAACCTTTTCACCTCAAAAGAACTGGATTAGCCAGGTGGTGGTGGTGAACACCTTCAATCTCAGCACTCGGGAGGCAGAGGCAGGCAGTTCTGTGAGTTCAAGGCTAGCCTGGCCTACAGAGTGACTTCCAGGACAGCCAGGACTGTTATAAAGAGAAACCTTGTCTTGCAAAACAACAAACAAACAAACAAAAAAATCTGGATTAAAGGTGCATCTTCCCACTTCAGAAGATACGGATTAAATGTAGGCCTTCCCATTTCAAATGATTCAATTAAGAAAAAAAAATCCTCACAGGTGTACCCAGCTAATTCCAGATGTAGCCAAGTTGACAACCAATGTATTAGCCATCCAGAGGCCAAGAACTCTTTGTAAGGTGGGTGTGGCTGAGTCATCAATGGTTTCTGACTCCATCCGTGACATGGAATTTTAGTGTGTTAGAGAATGCAGTGTGCCTTGCATTTAGTTGTGGTGTGTGCTTATAAACAGACAGACGTGTGTACATGCTTTTCTGGGCCAAGTCACCAGTAGGTTGAAAGATGGCAGGAGCTGGGAGTCACCTTTGCCAGGGGACATTCATATAAAAGGGAAATGGCTGTTCATTGATAGTCTTGTCCCTTGGGTCTGAACAGTCCTGTCACTTTGCAGAAGCCTGACATGAGATAGTGAGCGCTCCTGTACAGATGTAAGCAGTCAGTAGAACCAGGGCCACTCTCACCGGGAGCAAACACAAACCTGTGCCGATGGCAGAGCAGCAGCATT